AGGAGTGGGCCAAAATCCCTGCTGCAGTGTGTGCAAACCTGGTCAAGAACTACAGGAAACGTCTGACCTCTGTAATTGTAAACAAAGGTTTTGGTACCAAATATTAAGTTCTATTTTTCTATTCTATCAAATACTTATTTCATGCAATAAAATGGAAATAAATTATTTAAAAATCTAACAATGTGATTTACTGGAATTTTTTTGTAGATTCTGTCTCTCACAGTTGAGGTGTACCTACGATGAAAATTACAGATCTGTCCATTCTTTGTAAGTGGGGAAACTTGGAAAATTGGCAGTGTATCAAATATGCCCCACTGTATATCATTTATGTTATTTCTCCAGTTTGGAGCTCATTATGTTTTTTTGGAAAGTCTGTGGATGGCTCCATACACCAGCATGTGCTCCACAATCATTAATTACAGCTCATACATAATATTACAATTATGATCAAACTAATCAGAATTTCCGAGCAGTGGAATGAATAAACAAAGGCTGCGTTACAGTTTTAGACATTCTGAATCTCTTTGCGTTCTGTGTGTTAATCCACTGCAAAGCTTCTCCGGATTCAGCTCAGTTTGCATATTTCCAGAGGCAGTTGTCTGCACTGTGATAAATTGCTCCCTTTTTAATGTGTTTACTCTGAGTTCTGTGCTAATGTAGAAGAATGGATGCCTTTATCTGAACCCCCATAATGGCATCCAGCCCCAAGGGCTCGGTGAGGCTCTTTATTTGTTTCTTTTTTTGTCGGTCACAGGGCTAATGACACGGGAATGCTCTCCTATAAAGACCACCTACCAGTGAGCCAGATAGTGATCGGAGACACCAACAGAACAGGCTCGCAGGCCGTCTACAGCATCGGGCCTCTGCGTTGTTATGGAGACAGTAGGTGATCACCTCAATGTTGAAGCTACTGTGCCAGATTTGGCTGCAGATGGAGGATTAGTGGCGATCAGAGACAAACCATGTTCAGATGATGTTTTTATGCCTGGTCCTTTTGTGTTTATCTGTGGATGGAGAGTTAAGCCTCATCTGTTCCATTATAAGTCTGACACTGTCTGTTTCAACTATAACCTCTAAAAATTCGCTGAACACTACAGCACTGTGGGTTTTTCTTTACAAACTTGTGTAGTGCAGCCAGGCAGGGGTGCCAGAATGGAGGGGAGCTCGGGAGGAGGCAGAGCTGGACAGAAACACCAGAACATGAAAGAGACAGTAGATGTTTACTGCTTCATGTCCCGGAGTGAGCAGAGGCCCAGGACAGCATGTCTGCAGTCAAACATAGTTCAGACCCACATGGCTTTATTTGAAATTTGAGATATGAAGGTTTTCTAAGGACATTAAATACTGTATGTCAGGCTGAATTATGGGTGCCATTTATACATTTATGTAGGAGACACGCCTACAATACACAATTTTGGCACATTATGAGACATTCTTAGAGCCTGCACACAACAAATACATGAACATTATAGTTGTAAATGGAACAAAACATTATGATTCCCTGCAGATAGTCCAGCGTTTCTTTGATGAGAAACTCTCAGACACTGTCATACTTTAACCCTGGTGTCACAGCATCCCACGACAATTACCTCTCTGAAATATTTAATGTGCTGCAGCTCATTGAAAACCTGGCTCTGGGTGGAAATCATTATGTTAGCTACAAAAGAAACAGTGCTGCTTGTTGGCTCACATGGTTAAAATGCTTAAAACCAAGGGCAAGGATTTGATCTGTGTTAGGGCCATTTTCTGTCAGATGGCCAAAGATTTTTCTCTAAATTTAAACCGATATTTTAAGATAAATGGCTATAAATCCTGATATATTAATAGCCATTTAAAACCTTATATGAGATTTACCACTAAATAAATATATTAAAACCTGCAGGTGGTTTGCTGCTCTGCTTGTAACCAACCATCTGCTGTTAAATAGTAAATATTTGCCTTACTAATGTCACCGCAGATAAATGTTTGTATGGATTGCAGAACATTTTTCTAAGCTAAATTCATTTATACTTCTTAAAAAACAACAGTATTTTTTGATTTGGGAGGCTTTTTTACCTAAGGTGATTAAAGTTCCTTAATTACAATGATCACAAATTAATTAGCCTGTGGAATTGAAGTATAACATCAACGTTTAGTTTTCCAGTGAGTACATTTTTAATTCTGTGATGTCTGAGCTGCTTCACAGTCATCAACTCAGAGACAGTACGGTACATTTTGAAGTTCAGGATTGTCACAGTCGAATATCCCCCATGTCCTCATGGCCCGACCTACTGTCCACACTTTTTGTCAGCTGTAATTGTGTTTTATACAGTTTTTTTCTATGTTGGTTGTGGTTTAATATGCTATTGTTGGATAATGTTAGGTTTATATATTGTATTTTTGCATTGTAGGTGTCTAACTATTGTACCGCTGTTTTGCCAGGATGCCCTTGAAAAAAAAAGGGCCTATCTTCCTTGGTTAAATTAAATTTAAATGCCATCATAAAACCTCTCAGGGGGAGGTTGAGACAGACAGTGGGTGTACAAACTGTGTGAAGTTTGACAGCATAGATCACAGTTTGAAATACTGGCGACAGGTCTGATGTCATTTCTGGTATTTTGTTGTTGCAAATGTGAAGGAAACAAGAAGGCAGTTCAGACAAATGATGCTCACCTTGTTTGCTACATGCCCTCAGTCTGAAGTGTTAACTCCATATTTTTACTTTCCTTCTACTACTGCCTTCCTTTCTCTCCTCTTCTTTCAGAGTCTCTATGGAATGCAGCCTCTTTCTACCAGGAATCCTCCTACCTCTACTTTCCCACCCTACAGGCCGAGCTCGCCTCGGATATCTCCTTCTACTTCAAGACCAGCGCTCCTTCTGGAGTGTTTCTCGAGAACCTGGGCCTCAAGGACTTCATCAGAGTGGAGCTCAGCTGTGAGTCAGCGTTCAGAATAATCACAGCATGCAGAAAGTACATGACAAGGACACGCAGGTTGAGAAGAAGAGTAGCCATATATAAAGAACACCTACAAGAGCAGTCAGTGATGTTTTTTTTAGTTTTCCTCAGATGGATGTGGCATCTGTACTGTAGCTGACAGTTTAATTTCCTCAAGAAGCAGGCTGTCAGGTCTGCACAGCATGATGCAATCCTAATGACACAGTCAGCACCGATGTCATGCTGTTGTAGGAGATGTTAAAAGCATTTCCTTATTACACATGTAGTGAAGCTGAAGTCCTGGGATGGATGAAGACGCAAGACTTAATTATGCTGCCTTGTAGATTTACTGTAACACAAAAAGCTGATATAAAGCTGCAAATAAGATATATATATATGTGTGTATATGTATATAGATACTATTTTATGCTGGCTGACTTGAGCACCAATATAATGCGCTATAGTTTGGGGGCTTTTGGGTTGCATTAAACAATTAAAGGACATGCGCTTGCACTTGCCAAACAGCATGTTTAATAAGCATGGAGCCCATTTCCACTGCCTGGAGAGGTAGTTCAAGCAGCAGTGGGTTCTTTTATTTATTACAGCTGTTAAAAAGATGTGCAATTGCTGATTACAGTGTGTTTTGTTCACAAAACAAAGAGAGGAGTTCTTTGAGTATTTGGAGCCATTATGTACTAGTGCAGCATCAGAAGCATTGTGAAATATTGACGAGCTGTCAGCTGAGCCCCCTCATAAATCTATTCAGGTCCCAGCAGCATTGTATCAGATTGCATCAGAAAGGGAGGACGAACATAAAAAAAAAAATCTCATATCACATTCAGTCTGCAATGACTGTAACGTGTGTGTGTGTGTTTTACACACTGACCTCCCAGCTCCCTCAGTGGTGACTTTCTCCTTTGATGTGGGAAACGGTCCGACGGTCCTGTCCGTGAAGTCTCACCTCCCCCTGAATGACAGACAATGGCACTACGTGAGGGCAGAGCGCAATGTGAAGGAGGCCTCCCTACAGGTCGACCAGCTTCCCCTCCGCTTCCTGGAAGCTCCAGCTGACGGACACCTCCGCTTACGGCTCAGCAGCCAGCTCTTCATAGGTAGGCTTTTCATCAGGCTCAGTGCACCCCCACCAGAGACAGGGGTTTATTTAAAGCTACTCTGCCTAATGTCTTTTCAGCCTGGAGGGTCTAGTGAGACTCCAAACAAACTGACACTGTTTCTGGTCTTCTGCTTTAACTCTGTTTTGGTCTCCATCAACTCCTGAGGGGAAAATCAGGCTCTTTAGCTGTTAAATGCTCCACTATTTTTAGCTAGCTGGTGAACACAGTGGCAGTTTGGTGCTGGGGAAGTGCTGTAAAGTAGGTTTATCAGAGTTTTTTTATTTACTGAGGTCAGATTGGAATGAGTCTGATGAGAGTGAAGCAAAACAGTAAATGTGTGGGCAGTTAAAACCAAAGTGATGATCTGAAAGACAGTAAAAGCCTTTGCAGAGCTGAGCTGCAGAGTCGGGTGATAATTCTCTGTGGGCTTCTCACTCAGGCTGATGCCTTCCACATTGCACATACTGTAGTCATTTTGTCTGTCACTACTATAAAAATATCAATTGGTTCAGCTTTAACAGAGAAGTTTGGATTTTTCAAGTCAGTCAAGACAATGCTCACAAGCCATACGTATGTACTTTGATTGTGAAAGTGAGAGGAGCTATTTTGGGAGCCCCTTGTTCCAGAAGTAAAAACCTGATTCCTTTTTCCCATAGACACTGTTAGACTCACAGTTAAAGCTTTAATCAGCATGAAACTCTCCAGGCCAAATTATCTGCCCAAAGAACAACTGTTATAAAAGATCCGCTAGAAACAGGTAGAAATCTGTTAACATAAAAAACATCAAGGTAAATGGTGGGTGGAAGATACAGGAGAGGGTTTTGGGGGCTGAAGACACAATCTGCAGCAAAAAAAAAAAAAAAAAAAAAAAAAAACCATTCGGTTTTATATTCCGGTTGTGGGTGAAGTCATCAAATGCAACAGTGTTTTGTTCTCAAGTATAAAGTGTTTTCAGTTTGCTGCTGCTCTGATGCAAATGGCGACCCAGGCTCATGGGTATTGTTGTTTTTAGACCTGACCACCATGCTGAACAAATCATGATTTCTCAGCAACGAACCTGAATTAATTAAACATAAACAAATACAGACAAGTGACAAATTCAAGGAAACCCCAACATAAAGTGTCTCGGTAAGATGCCAGGCCACCCGAACAGCTTCAGTGCATCTCGACTCCCCAAGTCTCTGAACTCTACTGGAGGATGAACACCGTTCTTCCAACAGATTCCCTCATGTGGTGTTTAGAGGATGGTGGTGGAGACACCGTCTAACACGTGGCTCCAACATCTCCCATAGCCGTTCAACTGGCCTGAGACTTGGTGACTGTGAAGATCACAGATGAGTCACATCACATTCATACTCATCACACATTCAGTCCTGTGGGTGGGGGCTCTGTCATCCTGCAGGAGGCCAGTCATGTATTCATCTTTGACTTTTTATTTGTTACCATCTGTGGGATCGTTATATCCAGGAGAGTCCTGTGTCTCTATGCTAATTAAGGAAATCATTAAAAATAAAATGGGAATACATGATAGCATTAGTGGTACTTTAATGTGCATTTCTGCAAAGAACATACAATGTAGATTCTGACCTCTACTTCTTACAATGTAGTCACACTACAAAAGTATCTGTTCACAGCCAGTGTGTAGAGGAAGCGTCATTACAGCTAACGTATCTCTTTAAAGGTTCACGTCCTGCACTGAATATAGACTTAAAAATACAAACCTAACCTTTAAGCTACTGTTTCATTGTTTTTTCATTATTGCTCTGGTCATATTCCTGCGGCAGCCTTTCCCCCTCTGATATTTTAATGTGTCACTTTAATAATAAACCAGCTCTCTGGAAGAGAAAGAGATACCAGAGAGTGGCTTTTTTCATGTTTCCCCAGTTTAGACCTGAGTTCACGCTCCTAATGGATCATTTACTTGAAGAAATAATTTAGCAGAGGAATGGAATATAAATGGAAGTAAAAATCCTGTGTAAGATGATATAAAGGTGTTATTTTATGAAAGGACTCATCCATTATAGTAGAAAACAAAGTTAATATGCATGTGTGATTATAATGGTTATAAAGGCCAGTATTTTAAAACTGATTGCTTGTGTGGAACAGCAGGCCACAAAGGTCTGTGCATCATCTCTTCATTCATTAGGGAACATTTAAAAAAAGCAAAACCTGATCAAAATGGTTTTGTTTTTTTTATTTTGTAGACATGGACATTATGAATATTAACTAGACAGCTCTGAGAGTGTGCAAACCACTCACTGTCCCCATAATACCATTACACCTAAAATGAATACTCCCATGTTGGTTTGACATGCATGACCACAAAAACCTCTAGCTGGCATTTATAATCACATTGATATCATTAATAGTTTGAAAGTTATTTCTTCGTTTAGCTCAGGAAATTTAAGATGTGTTAAATCTGTTGAAACCTATTGAAGTCAGAGTTTCATCTTTTTATTATTATACCAACCTTTGGCTTTTTCTTGATGAATTATAGGCACAACAATGTGATACATTTTCTCAAACAGCTGTTACAAGCATTTGTTTCCTATGTGCACGTCACAGTGATGCCTTTTGAAACCGGTCTAGTCCATTACACTGTATATTTAGTCCTAATGAGGTTTCACATGCTTAAGTGCCTGCAGATTTGCCCTAGATGCACACTGGAACTGAGTAAATGCTTGTCGTAAATCCCCATCAGCCTTAAAGGGAATCGTAGTTGTAAGTCATCAAAGATGCTTTTAGCACAGCCAGTGAGTATTAGATGTGACTAAAGCCCATCCTCTTCCCAGGGGGAACAGCTTCCCAGCAGAGAGGTTTCCTGGGCTGCATCAGGACTCTGACCATCAACGGTGTGAGCTTTGACCTGGAGGAAAGAGCCAAGATGACGCCGGGGGTGAGCTCTGGCTGTCCCGGCTACCGCAGGCGCTCCCCCTGCCACAACAGAGGGAGGTGTATTGAAAAGAGCAACGGCTACGTGTGTGACTGCTCCCAGTCTGCCTACGGAGGAGCCACCTGTAACCAAGGTGAGCCGGGTCAATTTAAACAAAAGCTGCACTTTATGTGATTCTCTTTACAGATTAATGTTGATTGTAACAAACAATCGATCATTGCCAAGGTTATTCCATTACAGCGTGGCAATAAAAATGCAAGTAATGCACAAGGCAATTAATACTTGTCCTGACTCCAGACTCGAAGAACATTTAAAATGCATTAGACCAAATTATCTCCTGCAGTATGTGAGCACAGAACAGAGAAACTCACTAACACCCTGAGATAGAAGAGCAGTAGGCTGAGCAAACAGCCACATATATGGAAAGAGAAATTGTTTGAAGACACATTCTGAAGGAAAGGAGATGAAAAGTCTGGCTGCAAATATGGCCAGCCACACTGCACTGTTTACACTGTATCCCTTGCTCAGTTTGTCAAATACCAAAGTGGCACCCATGCCAGGATACAGCTAATCCCACTGCTGTGCAAATATATTTTTGGTTTATTACAACTTGGACCTTAAAGTTAGTTGTGTTATGGTGGTGCAGAGTCACAGTGGGTTGTCAGTTATAGACTCTTCCTTTGATCCACGTCCAAACCTCCCAGACCATCAGGAGTAATCCACAGTTCTTAGATAAATGCTTTCAGATGCATGAGAGTATGATGGCAGAGTATGATGTTCAGGGTTTGACTTGGTGTTGAAAATACTCAGGACACCGTCACTGTCGACGTGTTGTGTAATGGTACGTTGGCATACTGTGGCTTCCATCCTGTCCTCCCTCCATTAACTTCAGGAATTACGAATTTGGTTGTCCAGCTGGCTTGGCAAGGGAGTTTTACCTCTCAGTTGAGGCGACGGTGGTGTGAGAGGCATCGACGACACTTGAATCACTGCAGTGTTCAAGTGAACCTCTTTGTGCATGTGATTCTCTCACTAGCTTGTGACTGTCATCTGTCATTGTTTTCAGCTTGAATTGAAGTTTAATTATGTGCTTTAGTGTGTTTGCTTTTGTGTATGTGTTCACAAAATCACATGCCAGTAGTGTTTTAAATATAGAAGCTATAATAATCCTGTGCACAGCTGGAGACGGTGTAGACTGATCATACATCCAACTGGGTGTCGCGGGAGGCAGGACTCCAAATTCAAAATTCCAGTGCACCCCAGGGATATCTAGATGGTCTTCTTTATTTGGTTTGCACACAGAAGTACAAGTTTCACATTGCAGCTTCCCCAGGCTCACTCATTTTATAATGTCTAATATGTGTGTGTTCTGATAACTCAGTAGCCAGTGGTTGGTTAGTAGTCACATGACGTACACCAAACGCTTAAAATGCACATTGAAAACGGGGTCAGTGAAAATCTTTGGGTGGGTCACTAAAAACATACTGTATTTTAGTGTCAAAGAAACTGCTGTTTAATTCCTTGACTGATCTCATGTGAACATGATCAGATTATGATAGTCACATGAGATCAGCCAAGGAATTATTAATTATCAGTTCGAGTTTGAATGCATCATCAAAAATAACAAAGTGTGTGGGTTGCTTAAACATTCTTAGCTGATACAGGTTTTATTTATGTCCAGTATTTGCAACTGTCTTCAGTTTTTTGAAGCATAGACTTGAATTTAAATTGTATTTCCAATGTCAAGACCCTAGGTGGATAAATATTCTAGAAGTGGCTTTATTCTTGTTTTTGTATTCTGTAGAATAAAATAATGAATTATGGATGTTTGACCTCATGTTCCGATGCAATTGCAAGGCACATCAGATTTCATATTCAGTTTCTGTGATGATTTAATTGATTTCTTTTATGCTTTATACAGTTTAATAACAACTAACACGACCTTCCATTTCAATAGTTTTATTTAAAAATCATCTACAAAAATATTTTCCTTTCTTGAGAATTCTCCCTTCAAAATTCTACTCAAATGTTTTGTCTTAAATGAAGGATTTTTTTTTTTAAGGCTTGCACTGCAAAGAATTAAATTGACTGGCACCCATCACTTCAGGTTAGCCGTGGCCCTCCCAGCATCCCCTTGGGGGCGCCATTGCTGTTGGAGATTCCAAAATGAGCGAGCCTGAGGAAGCTGCAGTGCGAAACGTGTTGTCTGCAAGCTTTTAACTATGTGTGCAAACTAAATAAAGAAAACTATCCAGACATTCCTGGTGTGCTCTAGAATTTTGAAAAAATAAATAAATAAATATTTCGATCTTTTTTAAACCCCTCCACTACGGGGGTTAAGTAGCAACAGCAAGGGGAAGGACTTTGTTCCTGGAGCTTATCTTCTTTCCAGGCTCGGTGCTGTTTCATGATGATACGATTGCCTGGGAGGACAGGATGTCTTGCAGGAGAACTGCACCAATTTTACACATCAAACTCTTTTCACAGGTCTTGGGGTGTGCTACTGGATATGTGGAAAAAAGCTGTGTAGAGCCTTTTGTGGCTTCAGACGGAGCTGGGGGAAGTCTGATAAATTGCCTCAAAAGATGAAAACACCATAGATAACATGAGCTATTGTAACATGTTTTGGGGCAGCCTTGCTCTGGAAGACAGACACTAAAGCTACATTTATGCCTCTTTGTTAAAGGGTTGCGCTGTACCTACTGCTGCTTTGTGTCTGGCTGATGTGTGCCTCAAAAACCTATCTACACACTGGGGCTCAGGCAGGGACAGAGACGCCACACAGGGAAGAGCATAAACTGTGATGGGTTGCTTGTGTTTTAGGTTTCCAACAGCAGTGGAGTTTGTTGATGGTTGAAGACAACATTAAAAAGGTTAAAGGAAGACTCTCTGTAGCCCTCTCCTTTTCAGTTACAGACATCTAACAAAGCAGTTACACTGCACTCACCTTGATCACTGCTTTGCATAAAAGAATGAACATAGACACAGCGCTTTATGGCAGTAGACTTGTACTGAGTAATGAGACATGGCGAAATAACATTGCAAGATCAATGTTTAAATCAAAACTATTCATTAATGCGATTTTAAATGACCACATGTCCTTCGCTTTCACTGTACGCATGACTCAATCTACGTTGTTCACCTCACCCTGAGTTTGTGTCTAATCCTTTCACATTATGAGACGTACAGTAGCAGCATCTACCGGCTGTGAGCTAGGTTTTAGTCTTCTAATCTTGTTTCAAAAAGAGCCGTAACAATGCCTACTGCACTGAGACCTCCTCCATCTGTGTTCCTGCATGTGCAGAGGTGTCGGTGTCCTTCGACAGAGAGTCCTCGGTGACCTACACCTTCCAGGAGCCCTTCTCAGTGATGCAGAACAGAAGCTCACAGGCCACCGGCGTTTCCACAGAGAGCAGCAGCAGGGCCAGAGAGGACGTCGCCTTCAGCTTCGTCACCTCCCAGAGGCCGGCCATGCTGCTGACAGTCAGCACATTCAGTCAGCAGTACATCGCTGTCATCCTGGCCAAGAATGGTACATGCAGGTTTTACACTGACACATATATCTCGAAGACATAAACACAGTAATTGTTTATGGGAAAATGGTCATTTAGCAGCTGCATTGTTAGCAGAGGGTGATGTCAAATCATTGCTTTATTTTGAAGGTTTTAATCTAGTACACGGGGTGAACAATCATGGAACCAAATTTCTTTTTCAGCTAAGTAGCTCAGTGACTAAAAACAAATGTAACTGTTTTTACCTTACAGGTTCAATTATGTAGAATTTTAGTTTCTTTCCCTTTTAAGATGAACTTTACAGTCACAGTGTAGAGAGACAGGATAGAGAGAAGGGAAGGGTATGACATGCAAAACATGCCCTGAATCTCACTGTGGAATCAGTGCAATTGCAGTACAATGTCACTGGCCAATAACAAGCTGCGGTGACAGGGCTGACCTTTAAGGGACCACAGAGCTAGAGAGGTCCCAATAGATGACGCTATCGAAGCTTATCAGGGGCATTGAACCATTCAGCTGAATTTAACCTCTGCTGTCAACAGAGATATGGTTTGCATAGAACTATGTGAGCCGATGGCACAGATGTGTTTTTTGAAAAAACTATGTGAATACTGTTCTGTTAGCAACATGCTAAGCTAACAAGCTAGCTGGTTAGTTCATGGTCTTTTATTTCCACTCCTTAGTAAGTATGTAATGAGTGGGATGATGTATAAGTAATGGCAGAATACCTAATAGAAGTAGCCAGATGTCGTCATTTTGTTTACTTGATTTTAGTTCTGTTTCACTATGACTTACTAAAAATAAACAGAGATAAACCTGACGTCACATGATCGAGCATCAGCAGCACTGTAATGGGAGAAAATCCAAACAAAGTTGCACCTGGTTTGAACTTGTAACTTTTAACTTACATATGCATTTCATTCTCTTACACTGTTACCGTGTGATGTAGAATTATTACATGCTTTAAGAGAGTTTGCTTTCCTGGCAGTGAAACACAAATCTGAGGTTTAGCACATTCTTTCATATAAATATATATATGTACTGTATGTATGATTAATGCTGACAGGAGAGGAGCAGAACACAAAATGAAGCTGACAGTGAACAGGCCAGCACTGTTCCTCCTCTGCATCTTCATTGGAAGTCTCACAGTCAGTCCTTAGGCAAAATGAAGGCCCTCGTGTATCCACAGGAAAACATTTGACACACCTCACATCATTCAACAAAAAAAATGTTAAAAAATGCAACTCTAAATCTGGAGTAACTTTTAGAAAAGGGCTTCATATTTGTGACACTTGCTGCAGGGCCATTCTTGCTGTCAATACAGTGCCTCAGCAGTTACAGCCTCTGACACATGAAATGCCTTAAAGATTTAGGCTGCACACTCTTAAGCTGTATCCAGATGCTGGGGCATCATATTAAGTGACACCCATGTGCAGTTGTTAGTCTGAGTCAGTGTCCGAATATGCTCTTATGTTAAATCTGAACAACCACATTTCTCGGGTCTGTAAACATCAAAGGGCAGAGGAGTCGCTTCATCCACACTGACCTTCATCTATAGGAGCACTCACAGGATTTGAAATGAATCACAATGCAGAGCCCTTCAGCTGCAGACTGGGAATTGTAATATTGACCTAGCTCCACTTGACAATGCATAGCTTTCTGACTCTTTGATCTGGTGGCGACTGTGCACGTGTGTGTGTGGGAGAAACACTGAGCACATATCGACTTATTCAGTGCAGGAGTGAAGAGCTATGAGACAAATATTTGTGTATTTCAAAAGGCAGTTGAAGAAGTTTAGATATAGGCATCTATTTATAAACCAGCAGCCACGTCTCTGCTTCGATTTGGCATTATAATGTAATGTACACATAGTTGAAATCAAAGTAGACTGTGTTTAATGTAAAATACAGGTTGCAGGTAGTGCACTGGACTTTAGTATTGAACACCGTAATGAATAAATCATCCTTAAGAGCTCAGATGGGACTTCCTGCAGAGATCCGTTTAAAGAAGATAGCTCTATGTCTTTTAATGGTGTGTGTCCAGGGAGTTTGCAGATCTGGTATCACCTTCAGACAGACAGGAGTCCGGATGTGTTCAGCCCTGCCCTCGGAAACCTGGCAGACGGACGTTTTCATCGAATCAGAATCCACCGAGTGGGCAAAAACCTCTATGTCCAGGTGAGCAGTGGACACATGACGTCTGCCGTGATGTCCAGGACTGTCAGTTATCACTTGTCCAAAGTTGCACATTTACGGGTAATGGCAGCTGAGGAAGCTCAATTAGCTGAAGAAGACCATTAGATGTGACTGAAAGCTCCCTCAGAGGCTTGAGTAATTATTTTGATAGCAATGAACATCTTTGCCAAAGACAAAATAAATCTATTTTACAACATTGTAACTGACATAACTGCAAAATGAATAATTAAATAATAGAATAATAAACCCATCTACAATACAACAGAAATCCTAAAATAAAATTTTCTACCTGCTGTCCAAGCATGTAACAGCAGAGAGAGTCACCAGCTGGTCTACAGATGCACTATAGGCATTTTAGAAACAGCAGTTGACGTAATCAAAATCCTGCAGAAACAATCGCAGATCATCAAGTTAAGTGATGCATCTGAGTCAGCGTGGTGGAGCAGGAGCGAAAGGTCTGAATCGCTTGAAAGCTAACTGTGGGTGGTGGATACAGTTTTGTATGAAGCTGCAGAGAACACAATTCTCAATCTATAATGTATTGAAATGTGCTGCAGCTGCTGGTGTTTCCTCGGTTCGGATTTCTTGTAATTGGCTTGTTATTTGATTACTCTCCACTCAACCAGATCGACCAGGACATCCACAGAAAGTACACGCTGTCATCTGATGCAGAGCTGATCCTAATCAGATCCCTGACATTGGGCAAAGTCACCAGTAAGTGAACCCGTCATGTTTGGAAATGTGCTAAAAAACCTCCCATGTCATCCCCCTGTTAGTGCTTCTGTCCCACACATTCATCACTTCCTGTCAGCATTCCTTTGTCATTCATGACTTACAAAAGAAAAAAAAAAAAAAATCAAACATGCACAATCGCTTGTTTCTCTGTAGAGAGGGAGAACTTCAATGAGGAAGTAATGCAAGCAGCTTCTAAAGGTTTCATTGGCTGCCTGTCCTCAGTCCAGTTCAATCATGTGGCGCCCCTGAAGGCAGCGCTGACCAATCGAGGAAGCTCACTGGTCACCATTCGTGGCCCACTGGTCCAGTCAAATTGTGGAGCACTGGCAGAGTCCACCTCACACACTCTGCAAGGTAAAACGTACACTCTGTTGTTTAATTTGCTCACATTTCCAGGCTGAACAACAAACTCTAGGCACCACACAACTGCTTCATACACAAACCATGGAGGAAACTATAGGATTTTTCCAAGCCTGTAGTTTTCTGACGAACTAACCAGCACACTGATGACAAAGAGTTGTCCACAATTTTGATAATCACTTGACTTTTCCAGTTATTTATTCACCAGATATGTCAAATATTTTCTTTCCAGGTTCTAAATGCAAAGACTTTCTGATTTTCTTTATGTCTATGCACATTAAATATCTTTAAACTGAATTTTGTCATTCAGTATTTGCAGACTTCACCGCCATGGGCTGTGAGAAATTATGGAGCAGACTTTCTGATTTTCTTTATGTCTATGTGCATTAAATATCTTGAAACTGAATTTTGTCATTCAGTGTTTGCAGACTTCACCACCATGGGCTGTGAGAAATTATGGAGATTTTCATTTCTAGACTTAAAGAATAATCAAAAAAATACCTGAGCTTCTGTTCTGTGATGCCACCTGTGACTCTGATTCAGCATTTATTTCACTTTTCAAAATAAGAAGCGTGTTCCTGGAGTTCTTTCTTTCACATTCTAATACAAATCAACATCTACTACAGCAGTTAAACCAGGTACTTATCCACAAAGGCACTCTCTTCTAATGTGATTTTTCTTTCTAGTTGTAAATTCTGCTCTTTAAAAATGTCTAGAGTTCAGTTTGCTGCTAAACTCTGATGCCAACAAATCTCTGACCAAACACAGTCATTAGTTTTACTAGCAAAGACCAGTGTTGACCAGTTTTCAGACTGCTTATTTCTAGCTGACACTGATGGTGGCTTTCACAAGTTAAAAGGACCAGGCAGTAGATGATATCAGCTGTAGCTAATTAACACTAATTCCTTAACAGCAACCCTGAAACTGTTGGATAATGTGCTAAATACAGTAGAATCCCACTTCAGCTTTGTATATACATGATGATGCACATCAGAGTTCATTAAATTCATGATTCTGAAACAGAGCCTCTATTATTTGGATCAAGTAGTAGTTTGTGTGTCACAGCAATCAATTGCTCATCTCATTTTCATGTGTTAATGTTGATTAATTTAGTTGCTACCCTGTTTCTGGCTTCTCGCCCAGCAGCAGCTGATCACAGATGTAAACTGAATCTTTGAGCTGCTGTTGTTTATGACTTGCAAATGACAAAAGCTGAACTTAACGAGATTTGATACGAGAGTGGAAAGGATTCATATGCGATGAGATGCTACCGAGCCCCGACCACACTGTTACACATGTCGACCTGATCCTCCAAAGTGACTTGTCTTTTGAGCAGCATGATGTACTGTGATGATCTGTTCTGGGTGAAAGTGATTCCTGAAAACTTGCCTCAAAAACAGTTGCTGACACACCAACTTGTCTTTGTGGCTTTGTGAAAATGAACACATCAATTAAAAGCATAACAATCCGTCTAATCGACCTCCTGTCTTTAAACTTTTAACTAGTCACTTGTGAACTGAGCCAATGCAGTCTGTCTGATCCAGACACATCAGCTGTGTTTGTAGTCGCCTGTCTGACAGAACAGATGCATCAGTTTTATTTTTGTTGATGGAGCTGCCACCAATCACAGAACAGCAACACAAATGTCTTCACACTTTTTTGTAATTTGTGTGAGAGCACAACTATGTATTTGTTTTGTTGCAGCATAACGATGTACACAGTTACAGTTTAGTGCAGCATGGTGCAACAAGCATAAAGTCTTGATCATAGTAAACAAAGGCAGTGACTACATCTGGCCAATGTAAATATTTGAATGGGTGATAAATTAAGAATATCTGATTGATCATTTTATTAATAGAATGTCAATAACAGGGAAAAATGCTCATTGTGACTTTCCAGAGTGAAAGTCTTCACACTTCTTGTTGTGTCCAACCAAGAGATCCACAGAGACTCAGCTGGTTCTCATGTCTGACAAAGAAAAGCATCAGCTCCTCACATTAAAGAAGGTGGAACCAGAACATGTTGGTGACTGTTGGTTCTAAATAGCTGCTGGTTAGTTTTCTACCAGTGAACTGACTCATGGCTGCAGCTCTAGGTCACTGACTGGCAGACGACACAGTGGGTTGGACACAGTGAGGGGATCTGGTTTGGAAGGAGGATATTTCCTCCCTCTGACAGAGGAGACCTGATGCTGCTCTGGAGACACGACCCTGACGAGGCTCTGCTGATCGCTTTAGTTTGTCTCCCATTTGTACATCCTAAACACATAATAGAAACCCTGATAGAAAATGTCTCAGAGAGATGTGAAATGATTAAAGATGGATATTTTGAAGATGCACTGCTAATTGTCTTGCCTGAGATCCTCTCCTCCTCAGGAACATGGATATTTTGTTTCTTTGTTTTGGCAGTTGCATGAAACAGCTCATTATGTGAAGCTACAGTACAACATGCAGCCACCGACAACTTCCTTCCAGACTCATTCACACTCACACCACATGCATTGTGACATTTGACATGGGTTAACTGGGTCAGCACACATCAGCTAACCCTCCTCCATCACCACCCTCCGGACTCTGCCTGGCTTTCAGTGACCGTGCGTCTCTATTCGGGATTTATACTTAAATCGAAGATAATGAGATGTGATGATGTCGATGACATTTAAATGTCATCTAAGCAACCAGAGAGGTAGAGAAGGGGGAAATGGATATGTTGCTGTTTATGCAGTGTAGGAGAAATGTTGAAAGCAAACTTGCCATAGCGTGTAGTATATCTCTTTTTAATGCTAGAGCTTAGCAGTGAAAGTATTGCACTACAAATCGCTAATTAAGGTGGCGACTAGAGATTCCAGAGATCGTAACACCATACCTGCCTCTCCTATACGAATGTAGCCTTAATGAGTTTGTCTGTGTCTCCTTTGTGTTGGTCCAGATCAAGCCGTGACAGCCAACAAAGATAAGGAGCAGCATGGCAGTGGCACCCAGAAGGATTTGGCTGTGATAGCAGGTCTGCCTTCCTCTCTCCTCTGCTGCCTTATTTTTCTTTGGTTAATTGAAAATGAGTCCCAGCTGTTTTTTTGTCACTCTCTCCATTTCCCTTAGTCTTTATTATTTCTTCTGTTGTCTTGACAATTCAGTCGTACCTGAAGCTCATTTCCATCCCTTCATTGCCACATTGGTTTCAGATGAAATGGATTTCTGTCTGCTCTCTGAACAGGGAACCTTTGCATTTTTACTTCCTCTTAAAGTTGAACTGTACTGCTGTGGACAACAGCCTTGTCCCAAGCTGATCTGACATCACACCCAACCTGAGGAATGAATTGGTGTCTATGCAGAATTTTAGGTGAATCCCACTTCCCCTAATTGGATCCATAGTTTCCCTCACTTGTCTTAGTCCCACCCAGGTAAAGTGGGAAACTGTGAGGAGAGAGGAAACGAGGAAGCACATTTTAACTGACATGACACGTCCTCCTTATGTGAGGCCTCCAACCACAAACTGATTTTATATAAAGAGGTGTGTCAATCTGGAATAGACCTCTGCAAAGAATGCACTTGTGTTTCCTCGGTTATGGCTCCTCCACGCAGCCTCTTTGCTCCTCAGAGCAGAAATAAGAGCTTTGGGACGTCCCTTCATCGTGACGCACCAGAACAACCTTTGGCAGGAGTGGGATCTGAGGAATGATAAAATAAGGGAACTGGGATTCACCTCTAGTTTGGACAGAGGTCCAAATCGGGCTAATCATTACCAACTGCATCGTTTGTCAGAAAATTAAATCACAGTAAATAACTTTCAACATGTTAAGTGTTGGCATCTGCGAATGTGATGCTATAACCGGATATAAAGAAAGTCACAGTAGGAGAAGAGATTTTAAAAATAAGAGTAAAATAAATAGAGACCTGTACATATGTAGGTAGGTAGGTAGGTAGGTTAAAAATACCCCACTCGCCCCCCACATCGGGGCAGTCTTATTCCTTCCCTCAAGCTCCGGTCCTCTACCAGAGGCCTGGGAGCTTGAGGGTCCTGCACAGTATCTTAGCTGTTCCTAG